CCAGGAAATACTTATATGACACATGAATTAACATGAATATTTGGTAAATAAACGGACTATCCAATTAGCCAGCTCCATTTACTAGTCAGTCATTTTATTTTCAGTTTTTATAGACTTTTTTAGCTAGAGCATATTTTATTGCTAGTAATTTGTGGTGGTGATGATCTAAGTTTTGGAAATATTATACATAGATTTTGATTTTTATCTTATTAAGATATTTCCTTAATAAGTTTATATATTTAACATATATTATGCCAATTGTGGGCTTCTTATTAATATCTCTCTTTAGGTAGCTCCCATGATTATGATATGAGAATCCAATTCAAAGATTATCTAATAATATTTTTTTTCTGGTCAGTAGATCAAATTTTATTTATTATTTTCTAGCAACACTTTGGCTAATCTCTCTATCTTTATTACTTCAAATACACGTAAAATTATTCACTAAAAATTCTCCGCACATAATTTAAAAAATTAGCTAAAGTCAGGCATGACCCTCTGAGAGATTCTCCGATTGACATTTAGTGCTAGAGAATAAACCATTGTCATATGAGATCTTTGACGATCTTTTCACGTAGTTTTCAATGATAACTAAATAGTTCCTTGTTCGAAAATGTTTATTTCCTCAGTTAGGCAGTTAGTGTTTAGACACGCAACAATAAACTGATCTGATCAATGAATCATCTATGGCAACAATCGTTTAAACCTCAAATGCTTACTCATTAGCAAATGCGATCAGTTTTTTTTCACCATATATGTATGCTTATTTAGATTAGATTTAATTGGGTCGTCATACGAAATGTTCGATCAGTTAAAGAATTAAAGCGATCACACGATCAATGTGTGAATTTTGTTATAATATAAATTGTAAGCTTCTATCGGTCCATATATTTGGAATATATATTACAGAATAGAAGATCAGCTGAAAATAAAGTGATCAGTTACTGAAATTCTCTATTTAGTATTAATATATATTGTCAATGCATGTGTTTTTCGGAATTTGTAAACATTTTTGCATACACAACGTGCAATCAGTTTGAAAACGCGATCAAATAATCTAAATTGAGTCTGGGGGAATCTTGAGTGTACAACCTTGATGTCTTCTTAAGTTAAGGATTGAAGCCATGCAATATAGAAAATCATTTGCGAACTCTGTATACTAGACTCTTCAATATACATTCTTGAAGTCTTCTCAAGCTTAGAGTTCCTTTATAACAATTAAAATCATTTGCACTCACTCGATCACAGCGACTTATATTTATGTTGCTACATAGTACTCTATGGAAGCCTCACTATGCCAACTAGCTGTAAATTGCCATACTCTGGCAACTCTGTTATTGATCGTGATCAATTTGTTGATGTTGCTAATCTTAACACGCTAGGCAAAAAACAAAAATACCGAATATGGTGTCGACATATGTTTTGAGCGGTAGATCAACAATGTTTCCATATTTAAATGAGTTTCGATGGTTTTTGGTGCGACATGGCGGGCTTATCAGTGGCATGAATGAACTCACGATCGATTTGATGTTAATACCCTCGATTGGGTTGCGTTGACATTCCAAGGCGCCTTCCACATTTTTATTGACTGAACAATGGACAAGCAGCGGGCAGGGTGCGGGTCAAATGGGGGGAATTCTGTGTTTATAAATATTTTCATAATACTAATTAAAGTTAAGAACCTGTTTCCATTGCCGAACAGAGTTGCCACACTCGCCGAAGAAGTGGAGAATGTGGGGGATGTGGAGAGGGAGGGGAGTAGCATCATTTAAATGACAATAAAAAGTATAAAATCATTTAAAATATTACGTATACGCCACAGCCGGTTCGTGTTTATTATTTATGTGCTCGAGATGAAAACAAATTGCAGGCGTAATTGCGCTTAAGTGGCCCAAAAGCCCCAGCCGCAGTCGCGCATTGGGCATATTTATTGAAAAGCTATGGCGAGAGCTAGACAGAGAAGGACGGATGTTTCCAATATTTTGAGTGGTCTGTCAATTGATGTTCTATAAATAAATGAAACATCTATTTCGATGCCTGTGTCTCAATTGCTTTCATTTGTGGATGCTTTTCACCATATAGCAACAGTTTTTCGGCTTCACATCTAACGAAACTTTCGTATTGTTCTTTTTTTATATATATCTATTTTTTTGCGCCCAATTAGGTATTGTAATTGCCCGTATTTCTCACTGTGGGGCAACCCCAATGCCAGAAATTTGCCATTGTTGTTATTTTTTTATCACTCTGTTTTCGCATTGTTTGTTGTCGGAATTGCCGGGCATACAAATCGCCCATTAATCCGCTGTGCGATCATAAAAATGCTAATTAGCATTTAATACGTTAATTTTGCATAGATCAGCTTCACGGATCGATCAATGTTTTGCATACAGTTGATAACACAAAACGAATCGACGGCTAAATATGTCAATTAGTTAAGAATGATCGCTGATCTTTTAATGATCAAGATAACCTAATTGCCAAATACTCGAAGAACACTTTCTAACAACATCATAAATCAGATTGTTGATCTTAAAAAATGTAAAAAAAACATTAAATTTTATATAAATTATGCATAAATTAGTAAAAAAGTCAGTTCTTACGTTGATCACTGAGCGTTGAACGCCATATAAATCAGATCTTCGGTTATTATACAGGCATAAAAACTATATTCTTAACTAGATTACCGATCTATTTTATAGATCATTTAATTATTTTCGAATTGATCAATTGTTTTTATCGAATACAAATATTTAATAAAAAGATATTTAATCACGGAATAAATCTTCTTTTTATTCCTTAACCTTCAGCTTATAAATATTGTTTAATCAATCAATCTTTGAAGAACTTCAGATTTGTTTACGTTTTCTAACTTTTTTCAACTGATCAGTTAACAATTTTTGTTTACTTAATGATGAGTTAGACACAGTTCTATATATTTTTAGTTCACTCTCATCATCAAGTGGTTGACAGGTCTAGGTTAAGAATAGAATTTATGCGATCAGCAAATCTGTTATTTATGCTAGCTGCTCTTCAAGTTTCATGCTGATCTTCAAGTGGTCAGTTAATACTTTAACACCTACGCTAAATACACTTGAAGAAAACAGTAACAAATAGTCAACGTTGGCAATTCTTGACTCCAAAAACTGGAAAGTTAAGCAAATTTGGAATTTCTATTACAAATAATTTCCCTCAGTGTTTTCCCCTGACAAGCACTCGCTTGGTTCTCTAAGTGATCTTCAAGCTCTTCAGCCTCTTCACTCAGATACTTTTGGATCATAACAATTTTGCATGCCAGTTGTTGCTTCTTCTGTTTCCTCTTCGTCTTGCTCTTCTTGGCAACCTGATCTAACTGACTGAACCTGATCGTTGATCATGCGGCTGCCGGCCCACTCGGGGATGCTTCTCGTAAAACCTGATTGCTAATCGTTTATGGCTCACCTTTGCCGTGTTTCAATTTGGCGTATTTTTAGCTTTTCATTTCGTTTGAATTTCAGCTGAATTGAATTATTGTCTAAGCACAGACACAGAAATATGTCAATAGTTGTCTGTGCCAGTTTCGGCAGGTTGTTCTTGGCAGTTGGACACATTATACATATTTACGTCAAATAACAAGAATACAGATACCAAAATAAAATGTAAAGAATCAAGAATAAAAAAAATATAGGCACTGATATCGTGAAAGACTTGAGGCGTGGCTGTCGTTTAGCGGCGATAGGCGAGCGGCTACTCAGGCAATAGAGACATTTGAAATGCCGTCGAGTCAAGTAATGTTTTGTATATCAGTGCGAATACCCTAGACTTTAAGTGGTCCATGGGGTGTATTAAGGGAATGTGTTATTTATAATTTATGCTTCTTAATTATATTCTCTTTTGTAAGAAAGAATCAGGCGTGACTTGGTAGACTTGAATATGAATCAATTAAATATAGTCCTTTCTGCTTAGAGTTTCTAGATCAATTTTTAGAATTAAAAACAGTTTCGAAAAACAAGCGAAAGCTTTGTCAATGATGTTGATCTGCATAATTTATCATCTAATACTTTGAAAAATACTGGAAACTCCCACTTATTCACTTTGTTATAAATATCCAAAATTTTTTTGATAACGTATTTTGTTTGCTTATAGAAAACTGTTATCAAAAAGCATTAGCTGGAATTTTATATCGAACATGGCTACTTAAAGACCTATTCCAGTTAACTTAACTGTAAACTAAACATAAGCTTTTAGTTTTTCTTTATTTGGCAAACATGATTGCTTGAAAATTCATATTGTTTAATTATGGCCTCAAACATTTTTCCACCTTTTAATTAATTTGTTTTTTTTAATAAATATGTTTTTTTTTAATGGCTTAGCTAAATGGTATACCATTTAAAGTAATTACATGGTATCTGTTAGTCAAGCACACACACACTTAAATACACACATGAATAGGCTTAAAACTTGTATATAAGTAAAGTAAGTACGTTTTAGTCGGGTGTACTTGATGTTGTAATACACGCTCACAGTTTAATAACAGCTTAAACTGAGGTTACAAATTGATTTCCAAAAAAATATATTTATACAGTTTGAGTATTATATAAATATAGTTAAAATGTTTCACTTTAGATAGACTTACAGCAACCAATATACCCCTCTAAATTTGCGAACGAGCATCAAAGCAACGATAATTTTTTTGTTAGGGGCATTACTTTGCTGCTAATTTGTGTGGGTCGACGTTTAGCATGTCTGAAGCGCAGCGATTGTCTTGAATTTGGGCGGGGTTGAGGTTCAGTTACGTTTCGTAAAAGGGGAGGCAGAGAAACAGCCAGCATGGGCTGTGGCCCGTGTGAACAACAAGTCAATTAACAAATTTGGTTGCCAATGCTGCGTGTCTAATCTAAAATGCTGTAAATCAGTTTCAATGGCTGCTGATTAGCTGGCGATAAGATTCTTATGCTCACAATTTGTCACTTACTCATCAACTCTCTCATTCTCTCCGTCTTTGTCTGTCTCACTTGTTGCAGGTGTGCGTTTAATCCAGTGAGCGAATTCCACGTGGCGGCGGTTCTTCAAGAAAGCCGCCTGGATGCGTTTTTGCTTTGATAGGCTGTGCTTCGCCACCAAGCGACCAGCCAACAATAGCAATAGCAATAGCAATAGCCACCAGCAGCACAGCGGCACAAATGAGCCGTGCAGCAGCAGCAGTCCCACAAATACAAATACAAATGCACCACTCGCAACCACCGCACAGCCAGCCGTCACTGTCTATGCCGAATACCAGAAGCTGCAGCCAGCGATAATCAGCAGAGACGACACCGAGGCCAAGCCACCGGACATCATCTCAGAGAACAGTCGAGAGCAGCCGCCGACACTCCCCCAAACGGCACCACCACCAGCACCGCCACCAGCACCACTCGCAGAGCGTCGTTATCGGCGCCATAGCAGCGCCGAAGATCAGCAGCGCACGAGAGCGATTGCGATTGCGATTCCATTGCCGAGAGCTAATTCGAATACGAATCTGAGAAAAGCGGTCAGCATGCAGCAGGAGCCGAACGCCAACTATCAGTTTCAGCCCGACCTGGGTCTGGTGAACATCGTCAACAATAACAACAACAACATCAGCAGCAACAACGGCAGCAGCAACAACAACTTTGCCCACAACAGCGGTGGCATCGTTACGCTGCCCGCAGCCAACAGCATTGGCTACCTCGGCCTGGAGCATACTGCGGCGGGTCTACGTCTGATACCCGGCCCCGCGCCGCCCTGCCATTCGGACGTGCTAACGCATACGTTGATCTACGGCACGCCACCCTCCGGCACGCCGCAACAGCTGCACACAGATCCGCGCAGTCTGCTGCATCAGCAGGAGCTGCAGTTGCAGCAGAGATATCAGCAATTGCAACAGTTGCAGGCGCAAACGCAGGGCGTTTATACAGCGTCGGGCAGCCCTGTAGTAGGGATTTATCAGCCCAGCAGCCAGCCGGTGGCCATACCCGGCGCCTGCCATTCACCCACCGCCCAACCACAGCAACAATTGCAGCAGCAATTGCAACAGCAGCAACTGCAGCAACAACAACAGCTACAGCAGCAGCAGCAGCAGCAACTACAGCAGCAGCAGCATCCGCAGCCGCCCAACTCTTTGGCGATAGCTCAACAAATGCAGGGCCTGCGTATTTCTGGCTGCACGCCGGGCAGCAGCTCGGCAACGCCCTCGCCGGTGGGCATGGTCGATGCGACGCTCATGATGAGCAATACGTATGTGGCGGCCACGCCTCAGGAGGAGCGCTTCCTTCAAATCATACAGGCCAAGGAGATGAAGATTCAGGAAATGCAGCGTGCGCTTCAATTCAAGGACAACGAAATCGCCGAGCTGCGTTCCCATCTGGATAAGTTCCAGAGTGTCTTTCCCTTCAGTCGCAGCAGCGCCGCTGGCTGTGCAGGCGTTGGATCTGCCTCGCCCGGCGCTGGCAATGGTCCCGGTTCCAGCAGCGGACCAACCACTGCCACAGGCGCCACACGCAAATCGGGGCAAACGTTCCAGCGGCAACGCGCCCAGGGCATCTCGGCAGAGCCACAGAGCGAATCTTCCGTCTTGCTCGATCATATCAGCTTTCCCAAATACGAAAAGGATGAGCGGTAAGTGCAGAATGTGATTTATAATTGAATTATATATATATATATATATATATATATATATATATATATATATATATATATATATCTATATATATGGGCATATACAGTGAATCGTAGTAGTATCTCTTGATTTTTAGATCTCTAATTTAATAATGCTTTTCACATTATTTTAATAAACAAAAATTAATTAATTTATATTTTAAGATTCGCCAGAGTATAGCAAGAAAATATTTGGTTAGCTGCGTTTTGCATGATTAAATAAAATAATATGTGTTCGAAATAAACGATGAAAAAATAAATGCATGAAAATTCCTCATTAAATTACACATACGAAGTCTTAGAATAACTGAATTCGAATGAGAAAGTTGTAGAATGATGCAATATATATAATAATATATATATTATAGTAATTTCACCAAAAGGTAGAGCTCATGGTAAATTTATAAATATTAAATTAAAAAAACTCTTAACTCTTATATCCGTGGAAAACAAAAACAAAAATGTTTTTTGATAAATGTAGAGAAATTTATCAAATCCCAAGATTATATAAATAAATGATGAATGTAGAATAAATGTTCAATATAAGTTGACTATATGGATATTCATATTGAAACAATGCTTTATATGCTTAAATAATATGATAATGTTTTTATTTTGGCTTTCTACCTATCACGGAAATCGTCACAAACTTAAAAACCCAATAGCTTAAATTACAAAGCATAAAAAAGTAGTAGAGAAAAATGTTATAAAATATTTTCTCAGAAATTTCTTATCTGCGATTTCAATGGCAACAAAAAAGTATAGTAATATATTTTATTAGAGCTATTCATAACTGAAAGTTTCTTAATAAATATCTGTGTTGTCTTTTGGAAAAGCCCATTTCCCCGCAGATTTTTCCATTCAACCGGGCAAACATCAAGAATTGTAGAAAATGATATTGAAATTTGGAACACGACAACTGATTACGGCAAGTGAAAGATCAGCGGCTCTACCAGACAGACCTCAGAGTTAGCTCTAGATTAGATTATTATTATGAATGCTTATGAGTACATAAATATATGTGTATATAAATATATACATATGCTTTTCGCTGCTATACATAGAGCTATGCTGATAATGATCATCATTAGCGTCATCGACGGCGATCTTAATCAATAGCAGCAGCGCCTTTCGCAACTGTCCCAAAATGCGTTTATTCAAAATTGTGCTGACAGTTTCAACGGGTTCACAGTCCCCACAGCGCCCACAAATCATGAAAATGGCCTTGGACAGTGTCATAGACTATATATGCCTATGTTTATATAGAGAGTACTATGAAGCCAGTGCCAACTGGGCGCAATTAAATTGCGTCATGAGGCAAAGTTTTTAATTTTCTTTCTCTTTTTTAATGATTTTCTTTTTATAAAATTTTATCGGAAGCAGAAATGAACAAAAAACAGCTCGAAAAATGTATTTCAAGCTAAAATTCATATATAAACTGAAAGCAAAGGTAACACAGAAAAATATGTTCGCTTTACGATGAACATTGTATACCCTACAGTTCTTTTTTCGAGATTTCATTTATTGGTTCTTAGATCGTGTACTAAAGTTCATTAGCTAGTCGTCCGGCCCACGCAAAGCCTATTAAAAACATGTGAAATTGTGTGGGTGAATTTTTTCTATACATTTCACAGATCTTAAAAGATCTGTGTAGAATATCTCTATACAAATCTCTTGAGTTTTATATTTTCACACTTGGCGGTTGTCTGGACGTTAGCCTCTATAGAAGCTTTTACTGGATCTGTTCTGTGTTGTTTTCCTTTTTGTTTTCGCCAATTTGTTTGCTATGGAAACATAAAAACATAAATATTTATTTATTTTTCTTTGTTTTTCTTTTTTTTATATATATATATATATATATATATATTTGAGTTGTTTCCTGGCATCGTTGCCCGCAGCAGTCTCGACGACACGCGCGCCCAATTGGCTGTCAGTGATGGGTTGACTGGCTGCTATTATAAAGCAATTATAATTAGGGTATTAGACAGCGGCAAGTTGTTTAGATCTTGAAGAATTCGATTTCTATTTAGCGCATTTTAAATATATATATTATATATGTAAATGGGATTTATGAGCGCTTAATTAGCACATCGAAATTTTTATAATTTCTTGAAATATAATAACAAAATATTGGGTTGTATTGTAAGATGATGTATGTATATAGATGAATTGCTATATTAGTAACTTGGAAGGTCCAGCGTATGATATTTTATAAGGCGGCGGGTGATGCTGCTTATATCAAGCAGGTTGATGGCAGGGATTGAAAGGTGTGTCTGTCTAGTCGTCGATGTATGTTTTGATTAGCCTAGCTTAGCCATTTTGAGTGGAATAGAAGCGCTCTATTCTTAAATATCTATATAATGTTATAGTTGGAATGGCTGGCAGTGCAACAGATTGAAATCCCATAGGTCATGGGTTTCGTTATGGTTTTGTAGATTGGTAGTTTGACGGACATCTTCGACCTTCGAATCATAGGTGTTTTATAGACTAGCATCAATAAATTATAAGGTAAATCTACACGTTTTAATGCAGCATGCATTCATGTTGCACCTCTGTGTCATATTGGAGTAACTCAGTTGGAAATTTGTTTCATTAAAGCCTTGTCTCAGTTTGGTAACTGATTCTGTTATATATAAAAATTGGTTAAATTCATAAACGTTTTATATGTATATTGGTCTTAGAAAAAGTCGCATAAAGTTGTTTCAGCATAACTTGAACAAACGTAGCTACAATTAGTCTTAAAGCGGATAACTGGATATTGGAATAGACATAGTTTTCTTAGCATAAGATGCTTATTCCTTGTCGCTTTCTTGATAGTCAATAGAAACTTTTCTAAGATTAAACTTCAGTATAAACTTTGATAAATTTAGTAAAGTGTTTAGTTCAAAGTTAAGTAATACCTGCCTCACTCCTTTAATCCTTGGTCACGAGACACTTGCGTCGTATCCTCGTTCTTCATCATTGCAGCGACTATAATTTAGTTGCCAGTCAAGCAAAACTTCTTTCTTTATTCGGATAATCTCTGACTCTAGTCCTCAATTGATTATCTTGACCTTGTTAGGAATATTGAATTCATGTAGCTGCATTCCGATTGTCGACTATTCTAATGCATTTGCATAGTCATATGTATATAGATAGCTATATATGTATACATATGCATATATTTGTCTATCTATCTGTGACAAATCTACATCTGGCATTAAATAATGCTGCAAATTTGTTAGCTGGACGCAATTTATGCGCTTTTCTGGCCAATCGCAATAGCTGCTGACACAATCACTGAAAATCGCAGCAAATTGAAATCCAACTGCGAATGCGTTGTCAACAATTCAGCCTTTTAATGGCCGAAAATTCAATGCGACAGACAAAGGTGGGAGGGAGTGAATAGGAAGGAGCGAACGAGGCAGCGAGGGGTGCAGCAGAAGTTGACCAATTCAATGCAGACTCGTATCTTTGTCTAAAATCTATGCCGCAACGCGTGTGTGCAACAGGACATTTTTTGACACTTGTGTGGCATAAATCAAATGCGCCGCAGGCCCCTAGCGTTGACCATGTTGCACTCGAGTCGAGTCAACTCGCCACAACTTTGCGTTCCCACTACTCCAACTCCAAGTGGTCTTTGGGGCCATTTACACGCCGTTAATGCCGCCTGGTGGCTTTCAGCGGGGCCATCTAATAAATAATGCCAGCAAATTGTGCGAAATTGTGTCGGCATGTCGCATGAGAGAACTTGCTACAGCGCATTGTGAATAAAAAGCCAGTTGAAAGATGGCCCAGAGCAAGGCTTATGTAAATGCGAGAGTCACTTTTAGCCAAGCTACCCTAAGGCAGCTGTATAATAAGCCACAATTAAGCCAACTCAATTTGTGGTATAGTCGGTTATAGGTCAATTTATAGTCATAACTTTTACGTAATAAAAGTTGACTTTATTAACAGTTTTGTTACAATTTATTAACTAGATATGTACGGATGCTTTAAAGATGCTTTAAAGCACTTTCTATTGTTGCTTATTGAATAGCATAAAATATAGTTTTAATACTGAATATGGTTTCATTAAAAAATCTAATATCTCTAATACAAATCAGATAAAATAATAATAAAATAAATAAATTTAAAGTTTTCATTTAAAACGTTCAAAAATGTTTATAAATTTAATCAAGTTTGATACTTAATTATTGAATATTTATTAGCTATTCTCATTCGCTTTTTCTTGTTGTAATAACAACTGGAATTATGCCTACCATCAAAAGAGATCTATTGACTGAATTAGAGCTCCTCATTTATCTAAATATCGCTTAGTTATATATTGCTAAATGCTATTTATATAAATCTCGACTTGATTTCGTATATTTATAGAACGATTAAATATTTTTATGTAATATATTCTATAATTTAGACCTTTTTTACACCCTTTAGGTATGCTATAGAAATTTTTATTTGATATAAGCAAATGGTTTATAAAGGCTTTTAGAGAGAAATTTGAAGTTATATGTTATAAAAGTTCTATTCAGATAGAAACATATCTGAAGACAGAATAAATGGCATAATGCTTGAGAAGCAAAAGGTTATGTAGTACAATGATATGAATGTCCGTTCGAACTATAGACATAAAGGCAGTTTAATAAAGTTTCATAGTCTCATATATGTATATAAATATCTACATATATAATAATATATATTATATTGCATTATGATCGACTTTTGGCATATTCAATTTATTTAAAAAATAACCTCCCTCCCTCTCAACCTCTCTTATATTTCGCTTAATCTTTATTTAACAAACAATTTTAAAGGTGCTAAATGCTATTTAAAAGTTTTCTCGCCTGCAGCTACCCACACACCACTTTTAGCTTACAAAATCCCCTGAGTAATCTTTATTTATCTCTAATTACACACACATATATCAATGAGTGTCATTTATACCTTCTGGTTTCGCGTACAAGTTGTTCGGCTTGTGGTTTATGAGGATTGTTGGACTGCTTTTAGACGTTTGCACACTCAATTTGGTCTGAAAGCAAAAGTCAACTACAAATAATTGAAACGCACCCGCAATACGAAATCTCTAGCTCTCGAGCCAGCGTCTTGGGAGGCTGACTGTGGAAAAAGGTGCAGCTCGGCGACTCGTTGGCGTCTGTTTGCTTTTAGGGGGCGGGGCTTTTGAGCAGCCTTGGCATGCCTGGGCAGACATGAAATCAAATTTACGCACAAATATAGTCATATAAATGGTTATAGCTTCCGATAGACAACTGGAACAGTGCCAGGCTGCCTGACTGCCTAGCTGCCAGCACGCCCCAAAGGTCTAATTGAAGCTATTAATTGTTTGGCTCGCCCGCGGTGGCATGGCACACCATTGCAGCCAATGGGGCGAACGCTTGCACCGTGGGTAACACAAATTGCACACCACATGCATTTTCGCCTGCTGAGCTGCTGTGCGTATGCTAATTTACGCATATCAAATGCAACTCACTCTGCGCCATGATCAACTAGAGCATGCCCTGCATTAGTTGCGATAATTGTATTATAGAATTTCAGATAAGCTTAAGGCGCTGCGATTCGCAGCAGGAATACAAATGAGGTTGAGGTTGCATTTAGAGCACAAGCCTTTGATTTTACTTCAACTATTCCTTTGTCTATCTCCAGAATAAGAGAGCTTCATTTGATATATGAAATATAACGAGATATTTTAATAAATTATTTTCCCTCATTTTTATATGTTCCTGATTAAAACCAAACTAATTTTTAATCTACAAATAAAAAATTGAAAAGTTTCTCTCCGTATTATAATTATTATTAACACTATCATACATCTAGCCTGCTAATAGCAAGTTTGCTATATAAGGATGTATAAATTAATCAATAGGACTCTTCAAGCACCTTAGAGTTAGGGTATTTGAAAAGCGTCTTGGGGCGTCGGAATAGCGCCGCGGGTGTTGCATTAACAGCATCGCTGCCATAGCCATGCACGCTGAGAGTCGAACTTGTTTCGATTGCCCAAAATATACTTTCGGTCGGGTCGTCGAAATCTAATACGCATTTTTCTTTCGTAAAAAAATAAAAAATAAAAAATGGCGCTTGCAGCACGCCAAATTAAATTGGTCGCTTCCGAGTCACCGACTGTGGCAACAGTTAAATCTTACAGACAGCTACGATGATTACACTGCTCGAAAGCTTTTAGTCCGTTCTATAAAGTATAGACATTACCTATGTCTATATATTTTCTTTCTACAAAGTAATTTATATATTTGTAAAACTTTTATATAATTTTTCCTGCGATAAAAAAGTATTTCAGAATTATTCAAGTAGAGCTATAAATAATTTTTTAAAATAATTGAATGCCCATTAAATTAAAGTATGAAAATTGTAACTCAAATATCATACAAAAGGGACAGGAGTAAATACATTGATAGGGATATATACAAGATAGGGATATATAGATAGATTTAGCATATTTACTATATTTAGTCTTCATTTTCTAACAGTGTATGATTGTGGACTCTAACCTGGGCCGTTAGGTGCGCAACTGTCGCTGGTAACGAGTAGCTTGTATGTTTATTAAATTTTTATATTTTAATTGTAAGTGTTGTTTGGGGTGCGTGTGCTTGTGCCAAAAATGTGTGATTACCGGCCAAACAGGCGGCACAGCTTGTTGTCTGTTGTCGAAGTGGCTGGCTGGCTGGCTGGCCAGTATGGCTGTCTAACTCATCATCCACTATCGTGGCCAAATTTTGTGTCTACGCGCATGCGCAGCGTTGCCAGAGTTTACAAATTGGATGACCAACGACGACAAGCGCGTTACGCCCGATTTCAAGACTTGTCTTTAATTAATCGGCCCAAGTCGATTAAGTCTGACTGTCTGGCTGCCTGGTTGGTTGTCAAATATGCTGACAGATAAAGTCATTTGACATTTACAGGCAGCACATGGCACATGGCACATGGCGCATGGCATAGCCACCCTGTCAACTACCTCCGCCTACCTCTTTCATTTTCAAATTTGCTTCAATTTCATATCGTATAAAATTTACTCTTTTATTTTTTTGCGTACAGCAACTTGTTGCATTGGTTGTAAGCCCAACTGGCGAAGCAGATAAAAAACGATTTATATGTGTCAGTCGCGAAATTAATTGGCCTTTTGACTTTGTCAGCGTCGAGTGCGCAGAATAGTTGTTAAGACCACAACTGATCATTTTTGGGACGTAACCGTTTGACAGTTGCGCTACCATATTCGTACTTACCTATACCGTAACTAATTTATGGCCTAGCATTTATCTATATCTACTTTATATCTACTGACAGCTCCCGTGAACTTATCAAAGCGGCCATTTTGGATAACGATTTCATGAAAAACTTGGACTTGGCCCAAATACGTGAAATTGTCGATTGCATGTATCCGGTTAAATATCCAGCCAAGAATCTAATCATCAAGGAGGGAGATGTCGGCAGCATTGTCTATGTTATGGAAGGTGAGTCGACATATATTTTATATTTCATAGCAACTACAAACGATGAATGGGCAAAACAAATAATGATAATGTTTGCATAGGGCAAAGTTCTTTCAAAAGGGCAAAGTTTTTCTAATATAATTATATGTAATCAGTGTTAAGCTAAGTGTTTTTCAAAAGTTTATGTGGAAGAAGGAAGGAAGGTAATTGTAATGCTAGAGGCTATAGTAAATAGACACCTAGATTTTGTTACCACCAAAGTACTACAGATTTAAAGCTAAGAGATCCTGAGCCTTTGCGAAAATATCTGTTTTTTATTTCGTTTTTCAGTGTTTAGAGTATCCTTAAAAGAACTGTCCCAATAAATATTTGCTAGCAGAAAAAGTTCATTATTTGAGCTTGCTCAACGGGTATAGCTTACACTATTCTCTTAATTGTATCTACTTTAGCTGAACTTGTAAAAGATGAGCTTTAGATTGCTACGAAAAAACTTAGAAAAGTAATCGATTAATGCGTTGATTTGAAGTTGTGAGCTTTCTTGTTTTTCTACGGCTGCTTTCTTATAATAAAAGTTGATTCTGCCATTTCTGTCAAACATGGGGAATTTCTATGATAGAATTGAATAGTAAAAATGTTTTACGTTCTCAAACTGCTTCCACTTACTCATTTTTATAATTTCTCAAATCAATCTAGATTGATTTGATAAATATTATAGCACAAACTCGACAGTAAAATGAAATAATTCAAAAAAACATTTTTAAAATTTCAAAACTCGTTAAAAAAATCGTTAAAAACCATTTCGTTATAAAGTCTTGTGAAACATTTTCGTAAAGAGCTATAAACTGTTTTGCAAATGGGTACGTAAATACATTTTTATTTTATATCCTAAGTTGACTAAAATAGCTGACTCACTTAAGTATGCATAGTTCGAACTGAACTGAAATTGGTTCACTTTTCCACACAGCCCATAAGTATGCAATAGAAAATATTCAATTTATGCCAATTGTAGTTGAATTATTTAGTTTTGCAGTGCCTGTATCCATTTCTGTGCCTTACTTGGCATTGGGCTGTCTGGGTTAGACGCCCACGTCTCTGTCTCTGCTGCAGCTCCGTCTGCCGATCGTGCCACTCGTTGTGGCAGATAAGTAGCGCCTACTTTGGCAGCGCCTGCACTCAGCACACGCGCAGCTGGCTCCAGTGCCCTCCCAGAAATGCGCATGCCTTGCAGCACACACACCCACACAGCGTGTCGAGAAGTTCACAAGCTTGGCTTGGCAGCGAAATGTCAGCGATCTGGCAGCTGCTCCTAAATATAGTTTTCAGATTTTCCTTTCCATTTTTTGTATACCCTGTGCTTAGGCTGTGATGTGCCTTGTGAATTTTGAAAAACTTAAATATTTGTAAATGACTTTTATTAAGTTTGATCTATTAGTTATTAAAGCTAAATAAAAACTACGCAGCTTTTAAGCAGCCTTTCAAAAGCTCTTTAAATATAGCTTTAACTTCAACTAAGTCAAACGAAAAGCTGCATGTACTTAATATTACTGAGCATTAGAAGTGTTTTACATATGTAACAAACATACGTTTTTCAAATGAAATATAAAATAGATATATATATATATATATATGTATATATAATATATATATAACTCTTCATTTTTTTAAATATTTTTTTATATTTTTCTAAAATGCTAATTTAATTTCATATGCCACACAATACCTAACTATAGGGTATCCATAAGTCTAGCAATCTCATCGAGAGCATTCTAACATGCTGGCTTTATTTCTCTTTTTTTTTTTTGTTTTTTTTTTTTTTGTTTTGGGTGTGCTTGTTTCTAATTGTTGTTTTAAATATTTGCACGCCAATGTCTGAATTTATTTAGATTCGAGCTTAGGATTGGCTACGACTGTTTGCTGTTCGTGTTAATTTAGTAGTCGAGTTAATTTAAGTCTCGTTTTTAATTGCGTCAGCAACAGAGCTAATTGCATTAGGTACAAATTAAAAAGTCCAAACTAAGTGCCAAAATCAAGGAGAAGAAAGTTAACATTGTGCTTCCTCATAAAAACTGAAACCCAATGATGACTCATTACGAAAATGATAATGATGTTGCTGATGATCATGCAACAGCGTCGACAGTTGCTTCCTTAATCTGTGCAACCTCCGCACTTGAAAGCCGGCAGCCAAAACTCGGGAGCCAAGAGAAAATATATACAGCAGATGTCATGGCAGCTGTTGCTGCTGCAGGCAACAAAGAGAGCGAGAGCATGATCGACGCTCTCTCTGCTGCAGCAGATGTGCAAAAATCGTGAGCGTCGGCCAAGTGAGTGAGTCGCATGCGCTTCATGTGCATGAATGAATGATAATGATAATTGAGTATTCAGAACTGTGACACTTGGGTTAATAATACTGTGATAAGGCGAGTACATTTACGTACACTAAACACATAGATAAGGAATTCATTTAGTGGCATAAATAGAAGCTGATTAAAAGCTTTTCATGTGCCTGACATATAGTAGTAGCAATTGATTTGGAAATATTCCTAAAATGTTTATTTCAAATCTATAAAAAAAAAGAAATAACTGTCAATGACAATCAAAACACATGTTTCTATCCATTATTTGGGTTTCCTTGTTACTTTTTATATATCTGTATATTTACTTAGAATTAAATATCAGACATATTATCAAGTTATGTGGTATATTTGATCTACGAAAGATAAAAATCAATTTAATACATACGATAAACCTTTAGCTTTATGATCAACAATAGGAACACATTTTATAAAACTATTTAAATAAAAAAATAAAAAAGAAGATTGAGTTCTAAGAAATTAATAATTTTAGTAGAATTTTTATGAATTTAGATAGTTGTATCAAATGAATTTGTTTATTTACCTTTTTTTATGACAAATTTCATTATTAATTAGCATATCCATATTACTCATTCTGTATAATAATAATTAATGTGATAACTCACTTCATGTGCACAAAAATAGCTGTTGACCAACAAGCTATCAGTGAGTACAAGTAGCGTATCAGTTAAGTATAGCTGGTTAACGAACCGACCTTGTCTATCAACGCACTTGTTTTCGTTTACATTTTACCTGCATATGCATGTGCGTGAGTTTGCATGTGCATGTGTGTGTGCTTATGTTATTTCCTCTCACATGTTTTTGCAACTCTCGCGACTCTCTCACCCGCGCACTCAAAAAACTATCGTTGCACAGCTGGCGTTGATCTCTCTCGGCATCCCCCAAACCATTCGTGCTCAATCTCAACTTGCGCGCTCTCTTTCTCTCTCTCATGCGCGCTGGCTGCGCGACTCACAGTCGCAATCATTCGTTCAGCAGCCAGCGGAGCAAGTGAACGTGCGAGGCGCATGCGCGCTCGGCCTGCAAAAAAGTATTAAAAAAAAAAACACAAGAACTCGTGTTTCATTCGCGTGTTCGTGCGTGTATCGTGATTCGTGCTGTGTCGTTCAGCTGCAGCTTTTGTGTTTTGTTTTTTTGCATATTGTATGCACGCTTCGTCGCGCGTGGAATATTACAACAACGCAGCCCACTTCGAAGAGGGGCATGAAAAGTAGAAGAAATAATATTAATACTCAAGCACACGCACACACATACATAAAGTGTGTGCGTCTGTGTACTAGTAGGCATAATAGCCACATTCCACCAATTACACAGCCTTTAAAGACGTTTTATTTTAAGTCTTTTTGCGCTATTTTCAACACGACAATTACATAAACACAAACATTTTCTATTAAGTTTGTGGCTCGTTATTCCGTGCGGCCTATTCTAAAAATCAACACCGCCAAGCGAATGAACCAATTTTATTTCCCATGTGGTGTTTACAAAACCAAAAAAGATCGAAACCCGGCTATAAACCAGAAATTATGTAGAAAAGGCAAGCGACAAGCAATGCGGTTTCTACGAATTGCTGTTGGCTTGAAGAATTCTTGAAAAGTAAAAAAAAAAAATAAAAAAAAAAAACAACCGAGAAAAATAAAAACAAAAAGTGAAAGTGAATTTTAAAAATACAAGATCAACTCCTGTTTGTTGCAGTCCGTGGGCGTGCCAAAGTACGCAGATCTGTAAAGCAGTAAGGAGTAAGAGAGAGAGAGAGTGAGAGACATATAACGGAAAGAGAGGTAGAGCATAGGGGGCGCTGAAGTTACAGTACATTTGCTCTTTATATACATACATATACATTTGTGTGTCGATTGAACGAAAAGATCACTTGAAGAATTCCGGTTTTTGTGGTTTTTCACAGTTGTTGCTGCTGTTGTTGTTGTTAGTTTTGTTGCTGTTGCTGCTATTTGTTTCATGTTGCTTGCCCCCTCACATTTGGCGGATTTGTTTTTTGTCGGTCATTGGTCCGAAAAAGAGTAGACAAAATATAAAAAAAAATACTTTTTTGTATATATAAAATACTAAAAATACAGATCCAAGACAAGTCAGGTAAAATAATGGCAAATGGCAAAAGAACCGTAACTTGACGCTGACAAGCAATTAAATTGATATAGTTGCCAAGATAATGTATTCACTCATGGTCTGATACATCAGTTGAGTCGTGCAAGAATGTGAAGCATTAAGAAACTCTGATTTTGCAACACTTTGGCTCTTGATGAGACCTGCAAAGAAATGCGGAAGACGTGGGCAGCATTTCATGTGCCATCCAAAGCAAAAGAAATACCAAAATAAAAAAAGATTTAAGCCAACATTAAATTAGAAATCGTGCGAAAGCCAAAGACAATCAAAGAAACCCAACCCGAGACGGCAAAATGTAAAAGAAATAATTAAATAAAGCTTAGGTGTGACAATATGAAATACTCTTGCGAATGTTGAAAGTAGAGCTACCAGACTCTGAATTTTATATGAATGTCATTGGAAATCAAGAAAATATCGTATTATATATAAAATATTTAAAATTTATTAGAATTTACTTCAATAACTTAAAAAAAAACATTGTTTAATATATGAGAATCATAGCAACAATAGAAAAAGTATTCTGCAGACAAA